TTAACTCTCTTCTTCGCCCTGCTGTGGCAACCCCCCAAATAAACCTTACAGTCGATAGCTTTGCATGTTTTTTTACTGACAAAATTGAACAGCAGGAAAGAATTCTCCCTAGCTTGCCGTTCTCTTTCTCAACCATACGTAGATCATGCCTGTAACGGATCACCTGGCACCCCGACTGGGTACCTCCGTTAAAGGATGCTCCTAGCGTTTCCTGAGGACTCCAAGCACTCTGGCAGACAGCACAATTACCGAACCGGAGAAGCATATACCTTCTCTCAAGCATATGAATGCTATAAACAGCTGAATAGACAAAACTATAAGGATGGGTTTAGACTCCTAGCAGTCAAACTGGAACAGCATACAATAAATCCTCCCCAATAATGAGACGACACTTCACTTTGAGGGTTAAGCAGGAACTCCAGATTTATTCACACCACCTCCTTTTAAGACATTTTCCCATGCAAGGGAGGGATTTACAATAAACCGCCAATCCCATACCTGTTACCTCCCACACATCTCCTCCCCTTAGATTAACACTTACCATAATTATACAGTACACACTTTTCCACAATTCTTGGATGTGCCCCAAATATGGGGGGGTACACCTTTAAATATGGTACCCCCTGATAGCCCTGATCTGGGTGAGGAACATATCCAAAAATCACCCAGATCAGACCAGGAGTTCGGGAGTTATGGGCAGGTAAAGATTTGACTGACCGCATGGATAAAGTATCCGAAAATAGTTCCATGTATTTTGGCCCTGCGGTCAGTCACAGAAAAGGGAATGAAACACACGAATTAACTGGGTTATGGAGCTTGGGGAGGATTCGTATGAATCCCCTTGTTCGTGGGATCCTCTCTACCGAAGGAGTTTCTGCATGAATTGCTGGAAGTCTGGAGGTCTCAGCGGTGTTTGCCTAGTCGAGTGTCCGATTTTAGTTCCAGACACTCGATGGCAAAACACCGCTGTTCGGGAGTTTAAGATGGCTGCCGCCACGTGTTCGTTTCCCAAATGGCGGCCACCCAGAGGACAAAGAACACATTACACAGATTGCCAATTATCTAAAGACAACATTATCTAGGATGGCACACAAGCTCTTTTTAACTCTTTTATCCACCACCTCAACATCAACAATAGAGGCATTACCCTAACCCACGAAACAAGTAAGGAATCTATTAATTTTTTAGACCTCAACATCTTCATTACAGACAATACCATCCACACCAAAACATTTAAAAAAAAAGTCAGCGTCAACACAGCTATCAAAAGATCTAGCTGCCATTACAAACCTTGGTTGGAAAGTGCCCCTCAAAGCCAATTCCTTCCCCTCTAGCTGCCATTACAAACCTTGGTTGGAAAGTGCCCCTCAAAGCCAATTCCTTCGTCTCAGAAGGAATTGCTCCCAAATAGAAGATTTTAACAAACAATCAAATTATCTGAAAGAAAAATGTATTGAGAAAAATTACTCACCAACCCGCCTCAACACCACTATAAATACCATCACCAAAAAAGATAGAGCAGACCTCCTAACTTACAATACCCCTTCCTGTTATTTTCAATTTTAATAACAAAAGTGGCCATGTCAAAAAAATTATCAAAAAACATTGGCACCTCTTAAAAGAAGACGAAATACTTAAAAATATTATACCTGACAAGCCTAATGTTGTCTTTAGAGGTGCCCCAAACTTCAAATCCATTTTAACCACCAATTTTACAAAAGAAACCAAACCTACTTTTAATTCTTTTATGCCCAATGCCAGTGGCTTTTATAAATGTAAAAGATGCATTGTATGCAAAAACACAGACCCCTCCGTCCCTTCCAAAACCACCAGTTTTAAATCTAATATCACCAACAAAACCTAGAAAATTAAAGATTTTATCAGTTGCGATACCAAAAATGTCATCTACTTGTTGGAGTGCCCTTGTGGTCTCCAGTATGTAGGGATGACCACAAGAAGTCTTAAAGTGAGACTGAGTGAACACTGTAGAAATATCAAAAAAGGCTACCTGAATCACTCAGTCTCCAAACACTTTTGTACACATAACAACGACATAAGACACCTTAAATGCATCGGCATAAAAAAATGTATAATACCATGGAGAGGTGGTAACATTAAGAACATATTAGGTAAAGCTGAGATGGAATGGGTTTTTAATCTCAAAACTCTTACCCCATCTGGTTTAAATGTTGATTTTGACCTGTTTAATTTTATTTAAATTCCTATATACAACCCTTATCTACATGCTTTTATTCTTTATGTCTGGACCTAACCAACCCTCATAATAATAATCTTTTAATTTTTAATTTTTCATCTATGCCTTTCCATTTATGTATCTTGTATTCTGTGTTATCTTTTATTTAATTTTATTTAATTTAATTTTTATTTTATCTATTATTTTCATTTAACATCTGTAATATATTATTACTCTGGGGTATAATATAACCCCTATTTAAATCATTATGTTTGGGATTATGTTACCCCCTTTTCATGCATACTCCATTTACATATATCTCTGTATCTCTGTACCTTTAAACCATCTACTTATGTGTTTTTTTATTGTTTTTTTTATGAACTTTAATCAAACACCTTTTTTTTTATGAACTTTAATCAAACACCTTTTTTTTTTGAACTTTAATCAAACAACTTTTTTTTTTTTGAACTTTAATCAACTTTTTATTTTTTTTATTTTTTTGAACTTTAATCAAACAACTTTTTTTTTTTCTCTTTAAAGAACAACTTTCTCACCCTCGTTTTCACATTTAAATAATTTAAATGGACTCATCACCTTTATAACATCACTCCCATACTCTTGAATCCTAATTTTGAAAAGTGATTTTAAAAATGGTCTCTGATTGGCCAATTACACTTTTGGCGCAATTTTCAAATTAACATAGCCCTATTTAAACAACCCCTGCCAGGTTACTACTTTTACCTCATTCTGAAGAAGCCACTTATGGTATTTTACTGTGTATTTTAGATCAATAAAAGTTTTTTGGCTACTTTATTGTACCAATCCTCTTTTTATTGCACTCTTTACGCACTTTAAACAACTTTATTTACCTATTCCTGGCATTTTAACCTTTCCTGGTTACTTTTACTTCCACAGGCAATTTTAAACTTCCAGTACTCCAAGAAATCCTAGGTGGGGATCATACCACCGGCGCCTATCCATAGAGCAGTACCTCTGCTCTATCTTTGTGAGTATTATTTTATTTTCTCTACTACTCTCTTAACCTATCACAATTGAGAGCACTATTGCTGCTTTTTATTCTTCTATATTGGAGCCTTGGATCACCAGACGGTGCTGACGGACGTATCGCCGCTACATATCCTATAAGCGGGGATTATACCGCTGTACGCTATCCACACCAGAGCTGGCCATAGCTCCCTCAAATGTGAGTTTTTTACCTCTTCTTATCTGCACATTGAACCACATCAAAATTGAGAGCACTATTGTTGCTTTCTGTCTTTCTTTTCCGAGTTCTGGACTACCAGACGGTGTTGACGGAGACCCCCTCCCTACATATCCCATAAGCGGGGATTATACCGGCACCCTAGCAATACTTTACTGGACTATCTACCCTTATTTGGCGCAGCCCTTCCATATCTTTTTGTATCTATCCTTATTGTAATCTGCTACAAAGTCTTAAAGGGGTATTGTTCCCAAAAAGTCATAGTATGTCCCTGGCCAGTTCTTAAAGGGCCAGTAAGATCATACACAATCCCTTAGATCCAGTCAAGGGGTTTAAAGGGTGCCATCTTCCCAGGACCATAATCAATGGGCAGGAGGCGAGCAAGCAGTCCCCTCCAGGAAACCGGGGCAGACTCTGGTACAGGGTACAGTCCGCTACAATGCCTTTCCTAGCCTTCAGACTTTCTCCCCAGCTACTGAACAAGAGGTGGCTGCGCTTCTCCTTTCCTCTCGCCCCACCACTTGCCCGCTCGATCCTGTCCCATCTCACCTTATCAGATCTCTCTCCCCTTGTGCCTTCCTTAACACACATCTTCAACTGCTCTCTCTCTTCTGGCATTGTCCCTGCTGACCTTAAACATGCCAGTGTAGTACCTATACTGAAAAAAAAAATCTCTTGCCCCGTCCTCCCCCTCTAACTATCGTCCCATATCCCTGCTCCCTTTTTCCTCAAAGCTTTTGGAAAGACTTGTCTTTACCCGTTTGTCTTAATTCCTCAATTCCAACTCTCTACTTGACCCTCTTCAATCTGGCTTCCACCCTCTCCACTCTAGTGAGGCTGCTCTTATCAAAGTTACTAACAAGCTAATCACAGCTAAATCCAAAGGCCACTACTCCATACTAATTCTTCTTGACCTCTCTGCAGCTTTTGACACCGTTAATCATGCTCTCCTTCTTCAAACTCTTCAATCACTTGGTCTCTGTGACTCTGTCCTCTCATGGTTTTCCTCTTATCTTTCCCAACGCTCATTCAACGACTCAATTTCTAATGATATCTCCTCCCCTCGTCCTGTCTCGGTTGGAGTCCCCTAAGGCTCTTTCCTTGGTTCCCTTCTATTTTCTCTTTATACTGCCTCTCTTGGCAAACATTACCTCATTTGGATCCCACTACCACCTGTACGCTGATGACATCCAGATATCTCTCTCCTCTCCGGGCCTCTCCCCTGCCATCCTGCAACGTGTCACTGCTTGCCTTTCTTCCATTTATGACTGGATGTCCTCCCACTTTCTGAAACTCAATCTCTCTAAAACTGAGCTCCTAGTCTTTCCTCCTCCTAATACTGATCCTCCTCTTTTGCTCTCCCTTCAAGTTAGTGGTATCCACATAAGTCCATCCTTGCAAGCGTGCTGTTTTG